AATGTTACCCAACTTATATTCCTCTGAACAACCATGTAATTTGTCAAAATAAACATTTTCATCTTTATCTTTTATCTTTATCTTTAGAAAAAACAGCAAAGTCTACTGAAATATTTTACTGAAATACAGTGGTACCTTGACTTACAAATGCCCCAACTTACGAGTTTTCCGAGTTATGAGCCATCGTCCCGTCGATTTTTTGCCAAAATCCGAGTTACGATCCAGCTTCAGATATGCCACCACAAAACAAAAAACAAATGAAAAAAAAAAATTATTGAAAATGACATCTGACAAGAACTCCAGCCTAAATAGCATGACAAAAAGTTGTTTTGGGACTTGGTACTTATAAAACAATGCTAGTGTGATGTTCTCACTGGAAGTAGTCATGTAATTATCTTGAGTTATTCTACAAAAAAATAAAGTTGTTAAGTTTTTGACATTTGTAAAATATCTTGCCCTTTACTTATACACGAATCCCAAAATATTTGGAATATTTCCAATATTCCACAAGCCAACTGTAGAACAATCTTTTTTTTTATGAATCCTCTCTATATTATTGCATTTACTTCAATAATAAATGGTGGGCTTCATGAAATAAGTCAGTGTTTTCCTTATGAAACTAGTGATCTAGTGCAGTTAGCTTCTCAAAAAGTCTGTTATCTCTTACCCAGGACCAAAGAACACGTTATAGGAAGGAGCAGTAATGATTTTACATGCTCGGACTGGCCTATTTTATTCATTCTAGAGTAATTATCATGTTTCCATGTTACTTATAGTGTTTATTATGTCATATTAGATCGATTCTGACAGATAAATAAGCCATAGAGTTGATATTAGCGTTACATTGAAGTATTTTCTCCTGCCCCTCGAGACTCAGGAATTCCACCGACATAAGCAAACGTTCCCAAACGGTTCCTGATCTCCAAGGTAAATACACTTTACAAAACCAGTTTATTTCTTTACATCCTCTTTTATGTTTTTATATAATATTTCGTATTTATAAATACATTTTTCTTATTTAAAAACCCGTAACAAAAAAACTGGGGTGGTTTTCTGGGGGTTGAACGGATTAATGGCATTTAAATTAATTTCAATGAGGAAAATCGATTTGATATGTGAGCAAATTGAGTTACGAGCTCTGTCACGGAACAAATTAAACTCATAAGTCAAAGTACCACTGTATATCATAATAAAACGTATGCAACAATGTACGATCTAACTGCAAAACATCAGTAACTTTCAAAAAAAATTTCTGTTAGATTAATGATTTGTAAAAAATCAGCAAGGTCAAAATCTGCCATCACAGTTGTTGCAACACTTTTCTGGCAACTTTAAGCTGAAATTGCAAAATAAATATCGGTCCCTATCAATTCAGATAACAATTTCCGAAATTGCCACTGAAAATTGTATACGTTCACCTAAACACGAGGTTCTAGCTGCTGTTGCTCTGTAACAACAGCAACTGAAAAATGCCTGGTTTTCATTATAACTTTATGCATGGTAAAAATCACCTTATTTTAAGGCCTGTTTTCTCCCATCAAGGACAAAAAGTCTATCCAGACAACACACATCTTGTAGTTTAGAATCTGCTCTTTCTAATAAAGGTTTTTTTTATTGTTAAGAAAATCAGTTGTGCTGTTTTTTCTATTAGTCTTCAAAAATGGCCTAAAATTCACTGTGAGGTCTGTGAGGACATTTTTAGTTACTATCAGCACATGAACTAAAAGCGTTTGGAGTCTGACATTTTAAGATTGTGACGACGTCTACTTGGGTAGCTGGCTACAATAATGACATACAGCCTCTCCTCATTTAGCAGCGTAGTCGTTTACCAATGACTCGGACTTACGATGGGCTCTCTGACCAGTTTGAATACCTAAATAATGCATATTAGAGCTGATTTCCTCTATTCTGTTTATTACAATACAGTGAACCCTCGACCAATGATATTAATCCATTCCAGAGAGCTTATGTTTAGGTGAATTTATCATTAGTTGAATTAATTTCCCCGTAAGAAATAATGGAAATCCAATTAATCCATTCCAGACAGCCAAAAGTATTAAAAAAAAATTTTTTTTTTTTTTCATCAAATATACATTTCCCTATAAAGAAAACAATGAGATATGCACAATAACTACATAAATAAATGCTAAAATGACACTTACCTTTACTGAAGAATATTGATGAATGATGAGGCACTGTTTTTCTTGAACACGCTGGGATTTTCAGAGTGATACATGAGTAAAGGCTTCACTTTGCAATCCCCACTAGCATTACAACAAAACAAGAAAGTTAGCCTGTCTTTCATAGGCTTGTGTCATGGGAGTTCCTTTTCCTCCTGAGTAATGTAGGTCCTGTTTGGCATTTTCTTCCATAACAGGCCTGTTTTATCACAATTGAACACTTGTTGGGGTTGGAATTTTTCAGCTTCACCATGCCTTATCACACTGTGTATGCCACTACGATTCTTAAATCTCTCAAACCAACCTTTGCTGGCCTTAAATTCACCAATATGAGCACCAGTTCCAGGCATTTTTCCTGTTCACCTGGGTGTTAGTCAACTGGTGTAGGTTGCAATCTGGGGGACAAGATTAAGGACCCCAATGGAAATAAATTAGACAGTCCTCAATAATGCACTGACTTTCTTGGGTTATTCTGGGTGGCTAACCCTCTGGGGTTAATTGTTTCTCAGTAATTGTTTCTTGTTAAGGCACACCAAAAACACTCTCTCCACATCTTCGAGTAGTACAGCTGATGGTGGTGGAGCAGCAGCTGATGGTGGTGCAGCAACAGCTGACAGCGGTGCAGCAGCAGCTGACCATGGTACGATAGTATTTCGATAGTATTTCTCACCCTTTTTACCACAGGGTTGGCACTAGAAGCTTTCTTTGGGCCCATGGTGGCTTATTTAGCAGATACAAGTGCTAAAAGCAATGGAATAATAAAAAATTTATCGAATATATGCGTGGAACTGGCTTGTAAACAATGACGGCAGGGCAGCTGATTCGTTCAGGCTGGACGCACAGGTTCGGGACGAATCATGTTGGTTGAGTTTTTCATCGTTGGCCGGGTCAAAATTTTTACGCTCAAATGCTTCATTGGACGAATTTATCGTTAGACGATGCCTTTGTTGGCCGAGGGTCCACTGTATACAGTACACTACTGTATAAACATTTAAAAATATACCAGATATGTTGTAAATGGTGCAAATGTGACATTAACCCTTTGACTGTCACAACCCCAAATCCTGAAGTGTCTCCTGGTGTTGAAAAATTTTTGGAAAAAAAAAAAAAAATATTTTTTTTCTTATGAAATAATAGAAAATCTTTTCCCGATGGTAACGACACCAAAAGTTAGCGATCTCGGCAATATATACACATCGGCGATTTCGCCAACTTTGAGCCCTATTTTCGGCCAATTCCATTGTTCCAATCTACCAAACTCATAGCTATTTCTTTAGAACTCCATTTTTCTATCGAGTACAAGAAATCGCCCATTTACTGATTTCAACTATCTAATAAAGTGGTCAGAAACTGGCAATTTGGCCAATATCACGCAAATTAAAGAAGATGCCAATTTCAAAATAGGGTGCAGAATAAACAATGCAGAAATTCTTGGCACTAAAATAAAATATCCCCTGTTCATTAGTCACGTCTCCAGGCCCCTCTTATATTACCTTTGCTTTCTATTTTGATTTTTAATTCACACAAAAAGATTTACTGTTATGCAGACTACTGCATTATTGTAAAAATGGTATAAATAATATCAGTGCACTAGTGAAAGAATATTAGACTCCCCAGTTGACGTGTATTGGACATGTGGTGTGATTTGCTTACTCTTGAACATTAGTAAAAATCAAATATTTCCGCTACTTTGAGCAAAATTTCAAGGTTGTTTTCATCGTGAAACTAATCAAAATCATCTCTATTTCTGCAATATATTTTCCATTCTGTCAAATGAGACCAAGAAAATGAGAATACAACCATAAATACTATAGGAAAATACACCTCAAAGTTGGAGTTTTAATCCAAAAACACAGTCGGAGTTTTTTCCTCTCATTATGCACTGCGTGCTGCAGGATTTTTTTTATACAGTGCACACTGACCACACAGACCCATTCTCTCACATGTGGGCTTTCTCCTGCCTGATTTGAAGACGCGAGAAATATTGAGTATATATACGTCCGAAACACTGGCTCCTAAGACGTATATATACAGCCAAAACAGTCAAAGGGTTGAAACAGTATCAAAGATGGATAACACAAACCCACTGCCATTATAGTATGCTCCTCACTTAGCGACAAATTCGTTTACCGACGTGGTTTTAGGAACAGAACTCCATTGTTAAGTGAGGACAGGCTGTACTGCATTTCATGAATTTAAATTTTCCCAAAGTTAGTTTGATATACATGCTAACCTTCATGTATAATTTTACTGAAATTGGAGATGGTCAGGTTGGGACTATTTTCAAAACTAGTCCACTTGACATGGAATGAACCATTTGCGTTTTGGTTGTCTTCCAACGACTCCATAATTCCATCATTGTGGTTCAGTGCTGCGACAAGCAAGATCATCCTGCTCTAAAACCATGCTGGTTTGGGTTGTGCTGATTGTGCTGTTCCATGAAATTTGTTACCTGATGTCTCATCACTCTTTCGAAGATTTTTATGCAGGAATAACTTCCCACATCATAAAAATCAGTAGCCCTAATGGAATATTGGTTTGTAATTTTTAGCTAGTGCTCTAATACCTTCCTTATGCAAATCAGCTATGTCTGGCTTTCTCCAAAGAATACTGAGGGCTCTTGCTCTTGTAGAAATATGTACAACAGGCAGTGGAAGATGAGGTAATCAGTGTCTCAGGCTAGGAGCAGGTGATGAGGGTAGTTAATGATACTGTCAACAATGATGATGATACTGACACTAATGATGGTGATAATGATTACTGCAGATAAAATGATAATCATTAATGCATTAGTTTAAGAATGAGTTTGCCAAGTCTCACCTTATCCATGGAGAATACACAAAAGATTCCACTAAATCGGGCAGAGGCCCCTGGCAGCAGTAGTGTGATGGCAAGTGAAGGAATTGACTCACGATCTCAACCAGTCTAGTTGCCATGCTGAATATCCTTGTCTAAAGTTGAAAAAATGCAGTATATAAATAACAAATAATTTAATTGCCTGTATATGTAGTGTATTATTTTGCTATATGAACTCTTTTCCTTTTCAAATAGTAAATTAGGAATGTATCATATATTGCTTCCATTGCAATCAACCCTGTAAAGTTTACTGGAAAATTATGAATATTCAAAGAAGAATAAAAGTCACACAACCATGGCTGGAATAATTCCCAATTAACCTATATGTAATTTAGTGAGGAAGCTTAGATGACATTTTTTTCCACTCTGGACCATTATCTCATTATGACAGTAAAAAAGGTAAGAAAATATGAAGACAGTACATGTTTAGGTAAAGAGAAAGGAAGGAGATGGGCCAGGTTGGGAGAGGTGACAAGTAAGCCAAAGTCATATTATTCATGTTCTAAAGCTTAAAGCATTTGAGAATGTACTGGGAAAGCCAAACCTTGAAAGAAACAAAGCCAGAACTAAGATTTATGTTAATTATTTGTACACAGGGTACAATTCAACAAGGTGGCACCTATGAAGACTAAAGAAGGGATAGATAGTTTTGAAAGAGGACTAGCTTATGGGATGGATATGGTCTCTCGCATGACACAAAAATTGGATTGTTAGTGTCAGCAAGATTAAAACTTTTCGTATGCTCTTTAACCCTTTCACTGTCCAGACCCCCAAAATTAATATTGCTCCCAATGTCCACTTTTTTTTAATTATTTTTTCTTTTAACCCCTTGACTGTCGATTTTAGATTAGATTTTGCCACCGAAGTGGCTAGTTTATTGTGCACCCCATATCCATCCTGTGGACGGTAGCGCGAGAGCATATGGATACACAAAAGGCCTAGGAACTAGGCCCCAAAGGGTTAACAGGAATACATATGGATTTATATCTACATATCTATAGTTCACTTATCTGTTGCAAGCAAATTTAGGAAATTTACTTAGTATATCTGGTATCTTATTTTCATTAATAAGATATCTTGACATGTCACATAGGTTATTATACTGTCTGTCTCTGTATTCTTCAATAAGTGGACAATCAAGCACATAGTGTTCAAGAGAGTGACCATATGCCTGATCACATAATTTACATTTAGTTTGATCATCATCTGTGTGTCTCCCAAACTGCCAGAAGTACTTGTAACCAAGCTAAGCCTGGCCACTACAACATCAGTCAGTCTGTTCACATTGCAAGTTGCTCCATAAACATACTTATCTACGTTCATGTTATCATAGTGGGTTATAGATCTACTCAGGCTTCTAACTGCTTTTCCTATAACAATCATTTTCATTATTTACTTCTCTCCTAATATTATTCCTAATGCTAGACACAGTTTAAACAAAGTTATATTCTACATTCTCCTTCGGGGTACTCTTCTTGGCTAACATATCAACTTTATCATGAAGGAGTAATCCAATGTGTGATGGATCCACAGCAATTGTACATTAATTCCTTTGTCCCTATTTTTGAGTATCTATACCTGGTTTCTCCAATGAGCATGTTGTTGGAGTCATTTTTATGAGTCAAGAGCCTTCAATGATGACATAGAATCAGTAATGATGATAGAGTCAAGCTCAGTATCATAGGTTAGCTTTAGCGCCATTAGGATTGCAAACAATTCAGTTTGCAATGTAGACGCCCAGTTGTTAATTCTTATGCCTAACTCAACAAATTTATTATCATTCTTAACTAGGGAGGTGGCAACAAGAGCAGATGCAGCCCTGCCAGAAGACTCCTGTTTAGATCCATCAGTGTATATAACTTGTTTTAACTTATTACTACCAGCTAGGTAAGAAATTTCTTCTTGAGCAGTTGCTCTGACAAGAGATTTAAAGAAGGGATTACTAGCAATAAGCTTCTTGGGAGGGACTTGTAGGTATGTGATATTAAATGAACACATCTTCCATGGAGGGGTGAAATGCTCTTGTTGCCTACAGTGATACAGTTCATGCAGGTTATAAAACTTAATGCAATTGCACGTTTTCACAATCCATTTAGATCTGTGTGTATTTACCTCTAGACACTTGGTAAGATTCACTGTGACAATGTCTGGTTCGTTTCTCAACATTCTAATACCGAGTACAGTGTTAATTTCAACAATCCTATCACTGATACTAGAAATACCAAGCTCCTTCCTCATGTTAAGAACTTTTGTAGATCTGGGACAGCCAAGAATAATCCTGAGAGCTTCATTTTGCATTAACTCCAAGGGTCGGAGAGAACTTTCTCTAGCTAATATCAACATGGGGGCAGCATAATCAATTAAGGACCTAACATAGGCTATGTACATCATTCTCACGATTCTCACATTAGCACCATAGTTGGGATTGTAGCCAGTAACAGCTTTGAGAGCATTTAGCCTAGCTTTGCATTTCTTGTTTAGTTGTGGTATAGTGGATTTGTTAAAGGGTACATCTACACCAAGATATCTGTAAGTTTTAACGTAGCTAATGATTTCACCCTGCAAATAGATGGGTGGGGGATGTCGTTTGCTTGTTAATATCTTTGTTTTAGAGGAAGATATTATGAAGCCTAGTCGATTACAAATTGCTTGAACTTCATTAAGAATGGTATTCATCTTCTTATGCCCTGTTGTATGGATCATGATATCATCAGCATAGCTTATAGCTATATGTTTAGGTGAGGCAGGTAGAGCATTTAGGAGAGCATTAATCAGAATGTTAAATAGCATGGGACTAAGAACTCCTCCCTGCAGTGTACCTAAAGACATTTCTTTAGAATCACTTCTGAAGCCTTGGTAAAGGACAGAGGATACTCTATTTGACAGGTATCTATTATCCAGCAGAGTAAGCTACCACGTCGCAACCCCCAATCCTGAGGTGTCTCCGGGTGTCGCAAAATTTAAAAAAAAAAAAAATATTTTTTCTTATGAAATGATAGAGAATCTTTTCCCGATTGTAATGACACCAAAAAAAACGAAATTTGATGGTAAACTGACAGAATTACGGTCTAGCGAAGTTAGCGACCTCGGCGATATTTACAAATCGGCGATTTCGCCCACTTTGAGCCCTATTTTCGGCTAATTCCGTTGTTCCAGTCGACCAAACTCATAGCTATTTCTTTAGAACTCCATTTTTTCTATCGATTGAGTACAAGAAACTGCCCATTTACCAATTTCAACTACCCAATAATGTGGTCAGAAATTTGCAATTTGGCCAATTTCATGAAAATTAAAAAATATGACAATTTCAAAATAAGGTCCAGAATGAACAATGCAGACATTCCTGGCTCTAAAATAACATTTTCTTTATTCATCAGTCACGTCTCCAGGCCCCTCTGATATTACTCTTGCTTTCTATTTTGAATTTTTATTCAAACAAAAAATAGAAGACATACTATTATGCAGACTACTGCAATACTGTAATTATTGTATAAATAACATCAACCCATTCATGACTGCATATTAGAATGGCTAGTTGGACATTTATTGGACAATGACATCATTTGTTTACTTTTGAACATCGGCAAGAATCAAACATTTCCCCTACTTTGAGCTCCATTTCCAGGTTCTTTTTATAGTAAAATCAATCAAAATCACCTCTATTTCTATAATATGTTTTCCATTCTATCAAATGAGACCAAGAAAATGAGAATACAACCATAAATACTAAACGAAAATAGACCACAAATTCGGCATTTTAATTAAAAAAAACGGCCGGAGTTTTTTTTTCTCATTATGCACTGCATGCTCCAGGATTTTTTTTATATGGTGCACACTGACCACACAGACCCATTCTCTCACATGTGGGCCTACCAGCTTTCTCCTGTTTGATTTGAAGCCGCTAGAATTTATGAGTATATATACGTCAAACACGGTACCGTGTAAGACATACATATACGGCCGCGACAGTCAAAGGGTTAATGGTAGAGAATCACTTTCTGAAGTTAATGACACCAAAAGTATTAAATTTGATGGAAAGCTTACTGATTCATGTAACAGCAAAATTAACAGTCTGGGCACAATTTACATATCAACGATTCTGCAGACTTTGAGTCATATTTTAAGTCAAATTCTTAGCCTTCCAGTCTATCAAGTGAGCACAAGAAACTGTTCATCCAGCTATTACAACTGCTTTATAAACTGTACAGAAGCTGGCAATTTGACCAGTTTTACACAAAATTAAAAAAATACCATTTTAAAAATAGTGTAAAATACACAATGTAGAGATCTGAGTCACTAAAACATTTCCCCTTCTCAATGATCACATCCTTAAGTCTTCCCTATACATATTACACTTGCCTTCCATTCTGAATTTCTATTCACACAAATGATATTAAAATGGGGAAATGTTTTTGGGTCTGCCAAAGCAACATGAGGCAAATGGAAGCAAATTTCATCTATACTAATAAACAAAAATCAGTTGGGAAAGTAAAGGGAGTACATCATGTGGAGCTGCCACTCCTGGTACTGTCTTAGAAAACAGTGCCTGTAAAGATATAGAAATGCAAGACAGTGCACCATATGGAGACAGTGGTGTTAGTATTGTAGAAGCAGGAAATGACCAAGACATAAGAGATCTAGAAATACAAAATAGCAATACTGCTGGAGATTGAAAAAATAAAGGGATGATGCTTCAAGAAAAGGTGTTGATACACCACCAGAAATAACTGGTGGTGGTACTGATGCTAATACAGGTACTGCAGAGAGACAGACTCCCTCCTCAGGCAAAGCTGAAGAATCACAGAGCTGCAGAAAGGGGCCAGTATACGTGAAATACCAAAAGAGGCACTAGTCAGATAAATAGCAAATATCAAACGTAAGCTTAAGGAATCATACAGGAGTGAGATACTGAAGTCCCAATATGACTCAGCATTCAGTAAGCTGTTAAATCAGACTAAGGGTAGAAAATCTAAATGAATTTTTTATGACCGAGACTCAAAATCTGGTTAATTCAAGAATTTGATATAATCCTGACACTGCAGGACTTTGAAAAAGCAATAATGATATGCCCATGAACTCTGCCCCAGGCACAGACTTGTGGATCTCCGTGTTCATAAAGAACTGCAAGAAACCCCTTTCATGTGCCTTAAATATTCTATGGAGAGGGAGCATAGACACAGAGGTCATCCCACAGTCACTAAAAACAACAGACATAGCCCCATTCAACAAAGGTGGCATCAAAGCAATTACAAAGAATTACAAGCCGACAGAACTAACGTCCCACATTATAAACATTTGGAAGGGTTCTAAGAAGCAAGATCACCACCCACTTAGATACCCCTCAGCTGCACAATCCAGGGCAACCTGGGTTTAGACGAGGTCACTCCTGCCTCTCACAGCTACTGGACCACTATGACATGGTCTTGGATGTTCTAGAGGACAAACAAAATGCAGATGAAGTATACAAAATCCTTGCAAAAGTCGTCGACAAGTGCAATTATGGAGCAATAGCATACAAAGTGTTATCCTGGGTGGCTAACACTCCACCAGGTTATCCTGGGTGGCTAACACTCCCTATCCCGGGTTAAAACCCAAATAAATCGTATATTAATGTGCCTAGCTGCTGGTCTAGCATCATCAAGGTAGGGTCCTTGATGATGCTGTGAGGCTCTTGACCCCTCAAGGAAGGTTCCTTGATGTTGGTGAGGGGCTCTTGATTTAGGAAATTGGATCTGTGCTCCAGTTCCCCGAATTAAGCCTGAATGCCTTCCACATCCCCCCCCAGGCGCTGTATAATCCTCCGGGTTTAGCGCTTCCCCTTGATTATAATAATAATGTGAGGCTCTTGATCTAAGGAATTGGATGTGTTCTTTGAAGCTGAATGCTTCTAGGTCGTGCATGACCACTACGGGTTTAGCACTCTCCTCATGACTGTAATAGTTATCAGAATGATCTCCAACATGTATTTATTGCAGTAAAAAATGAAGACACTGCAACATTAGCAATGAATTATTCAAGTGTTGCAGTGACGATCTTAACATTACCAGCTGACCTCCCGTTTCATGCCAAATTTTCTCCCCAGAAAAGTCATTTTTAGGTAGAGGCCCTTCAGACCTGTTGCATACACTCACCTACTGCATAATATTATCATCTAGCAGAAAATAATGTCCATATTGACGGTTTATGTGGGCAAATAATTGTGTCGACCTCCCTCCCACTCCCATGTTGACAACACATTTCTTTACTTTCTCAGTAACAACATTAATGTAACAATGTTACGTATACGATTTTATTTATTAATAAAACCTTAAACAGCCTTAATCTTGATTACTCTTATCTTTATTATTAATTATATGACAGAAGTTAATTTTCTGTGAAAACTTCTTAATGGCGCTAATTTTGAATTTTTTGGTCCTTGCTTATAATAACATAATATTATCTTTATTTCTACAAGTACATGTGCAAGGTACACAGCTGTGTCTAGCTGACATCAATGACATACTACTTAATAGAAAGTCACTTGTTATGCAGAGCATTTCGGGCAAATTAGGTCAGTTTTGTTCCAGGATGCGACCCACACCAGTCCACTAACACCCAGGTACCCATTTTACTGATTCAAATTCAAATTCAAAGTTTATTCTCTATAAGGATTACAATGCTGAGTTTACAGAAATTTGGTTATTGTTTGGTTTACATGTAGTAAAATTGTGATTACAGAGTGTACCACTAGAACGCCTAGCATGGCTAGGCATTTCGGGCATACTTAGTTTTATTCTTAATTGTAAAATATTACAAATTATGAGGTAAGTTGGTATTATGGCTAAGTGACTAAATACTAGTGTGTGAGTTTAGCAATGTGAATGCTTTTGTTTTGGCACAGTACATAGTTTCAGTATTGGAGTATCACAGGATTCATTATTTTAAGACTGATTGGTGAACATGGCCAGCAGGTGTAAGGAAACACGCCCAATGTTTCCACCCTTGCCGGGAATCGAGCCCGGGTCAGCGTGTGAAGCAAAAGCTTTGCCTACCAGGCCACGGACCACCGTACCTAATGTAACCTAACAAATGGCCTTTTTAATTTCGTTTGTTATGTTAGTTTAGATTATTTATATTTCTTCTTTGTAATTGCTTCATAAAACAAACTATAAAAAAATAACTTCCTTTGCAGATGACACCCGATTTTGCATTACAGTGTCTTTCATTGAAGACATTAACCAAATCTTTAAATGGGCCGCAGAAAACAATATGAAGTTCAGTGATGAAAAAATTCAATTACTCCTATATGGAAAACGTGAGAAAATTAAAACTATATCGGATTCTAAAACAAATTAAAACCATCTGCTAGAAAAATGACAGGATGGATGATGAGAACCTTCAAAACTAGGGATGCCAAGCCCATGATGACACTTTATTCTATCTAGGCTAGTATATTACTGCACACTAACAGCACCTTTCAAGGCATGTGAAATTGCTGACCTAGAAAATGTAGAGAACCTACACGGCACATAACTGCGATAAAACACTGAAGTTAAATCAAATTTCATAAAATTTCTCAGTGTCCAGAATATCTTGCTGCCAATTTTGTCAAGGCTGGGAACCAAAACAATCATAGTACTAGGGGGAGAGAGCACAACTTTGTACTACCCTCAATCAGTGGCCATGCTTCAAACACCTTTTATTGTACAGTAGTAAAGAAATGGAACAAACTGCCTGCACATGTCAAAGCCAGTTATAGCATGAACTAGTTCAAGAAGAGAGCCCATGAATGTAGCGACAGAAAGGGAGGAGAATTATTTTTTTTGTCTTTTTTTTTTTTTGCTAATATAAGTGTAAATATAAATAAATCATTTTACCTTATTCCTAGTATATTCCCTTCATAGTAAAATAATAAGAAATTATCTCCTTTATAGTATAATAATAAGGTATTAAAGGGCCCCAATGGAAATAAGTCACTGACTTTTTTGGGTTATCCAGGTTCTCTACGCATACTCTGCTATGTATGATAATCTATGTTACTGTATTTGTGTATACCTGAATAAACTTACTTAACCTAAGCTAACTTATCCCAACCTATCCTAACCTAACCTTACCCAACTTAACTTAACCCCACTTAATCTAACCCAACCTAACTTAACCTAACCTAAGCTCACATAACCTAACCTCACTTAACCTAACCTGACCTGACTCCTACCAGATGAATAGCTGGGATCCTGGTAGGATAGAGGGCTCTACCAAGGGTGTATACCTGGAGTATACTTGGAAATGGTTTGGAGGGTCAACTCCCCCTCGGCCCGGTCTGTGACCAGGCCTCATGGTGGATGAGGGCCTGATCAACCAGGCTGTTACTGTTGGCCGCACGCAACCCGACGTACGAACAGCAGCCCGGCTGGTCAGGTATTGACTTTAGGTTCTTGTCCAGTTTACTTGAGTTTACCTGGAGAGAGTTCCAGGGGTCAACGCCCCCGCGGCCCGGTCTGTGACCAGGCCTCCTGGTGGATCAGAGCCTGATCAACCAGGCTGTTGCTGCTGGCTGCACGCAAACCAACGTACGAGCCACAGCCCGGCTGATCAGGAACTGACTTTAGGTGCTTGTCCAGTGCCAGCTTGAAGACTGCCAGGGGTCTGTTGGTAATCCCCCTTATGTGTGCTGGGAGGCAGTTGAACAGTCTCGAGCCCCTGACACTTATTGTATGGTCTCTTAACGTGCTAGTGACACCCCTGCTTTTCATTGGGGGGATGGTGCATCGTCTGCCAAGTCTTTTGCTTTCGTAGCAAGTGATTTTCGTGTGCAAGTTCGGTACTAGTCCCTCTAGGATTTTCAGGTGTAATATAATCATGTATCTCTCCCTCCTGCGTTCCAGGGAATACAGGTTTAGGAACCTCAAGCACTCCAGTAATTGAGGTGTTTTATCTCCGTTATGCGCGCCCTGAAAGTTCTCTGTACATTTTCTAGGTCGGCAATTTCACCTGCCTTGAAAGGTGCTGTTACTGTGCAGCAATATTCCAGCCTAGATAGAACAAGTGACCTGAAGAGTGTCATCATGGGCTTGGCCTCCCTAGTTTTGAAGGTTCTCATTATCCATCCTGTCATTTTTCTAGCAGATGCGATTGATACAATGTTATGGTCCTTGAAGGTGAGATCCTCCGACATGATCACTCCCAGGTCTTTGACGTTGGTGTTTCGCTCTATTTGTGGCCAGAATTTGTTTTGTACTCTGATGAAGATTTAATTTCCTCATGTTTACCATATCTGAGTAATTGAAATTTCTCATCGTTGAACTTCATATTGTTTTCTGCAGCCCACTGAAAGATTTGGTTTTATGTCCACCTGGAGCCTTGCAGTGTCTGCAATGGAAGACACTGTCATGCAGATTCGGGTGTCATCTGCAAGGAAGACACGGTGCTGTGGCTGACATCCTTGTCTATGTCGGATATAAGGATGAGGAACAAGATGGGAGCGAGTACTGTGCCTTGTGGAACAGAGCTTTTCACCGTAGCTGCCTCAGACTTTACTCTGTTGACGACTACTCTCTGTGTTCTGTTAGTGAGGAAATTATAGATCCATCGACCGACTTTTCCTGTTATTCCTTTAGCACGCATTTTGTGCGCTATTACGCCATGGTCACACTTGTTGAAGGCTTTTGCAAAGTCTGTATATATTACATCTGCATTCTTTTTGTCTTCTAGTGCATTTAGGACCTTGTCGTAGTGATCCAATAGTTGAGACAGACAGGAGCGACCTGTTCTAAACCCATGTTGCCCTGGGTTGTGTAACTGATGGGTTTCTAGATGGGTGGTGATCTTGCTTCTTAGGACCCAGTGCACAAGTCCTTGAAAGGTTTCACATACTAGATACCTCCATAGGTTAACCCAAACTAATTCAAGCCATGGATTTTCTTAGAAGGATGGTAAGAATTTAGCAGCTCTGTATAGCCCCAGTAGGCTTAGCGCTTGGTTTTGATTATAATAATGGTAAGAATTACGTATGCAAACATTACCATAAAACTTCTTGAATTAAAAGTCAGTGGTAAATTCACAGGGGTCATACTGTGCTGCCTGGAAACTCAAACTGTTTCTCTAAAAATTTTTATCTGCATCTACCTTATTACTTAAGTCTTCCCCATGAGTGCAATACTGACCCACTGGCTAGCAGGAACACCTCAGTTTTCAGTTTAATATCTTTATTTTGCAACCCATACCCATGCTGTGGGTGGCAGTCAAAAGATTTCAGAGGTACATAGCACCTCTAAATAGATCTATCCCTACTGGCTTAACTCTCCCCATAATATAATATTGACCCATGGGCTAGCAGGAACACCCCTTAATAAGCCTATCCCTACTGGATTAAATCTCCTACATGAATTTAACACTGACCCATAGACTAGCAGAAACAGTCCTAAATAGGCCTATCCCTACTGGATTAACTCCACACATAAATATAATACTGTGTACGATGAACAATGAGTACGACCTATATGCCAATTTGTTATTATTATGACCCTCACGGTTTTAGCACTGCCCTGAATGTTAAAATAATCTCTCTTTCATGTCAAGTACTAGTGGCAAAATAATCTGCCCTTCATGTCGAGTACTAGTGGCAAAATAATCTGCCCTTCATGTAGAGTTACTAGAAACAAAAGACATAGCCCCACTCCACACAGGAGGCAGTAAAGCAATAGCAAAGAACTACAGACCGATAGCACTAACATCCCATATCATAAAAAACCAAGCACCACGAACCAGTCAATGCAGGAGTTTACACTATACCCTGTGGAGGCTGTGACAAGATCTATGTAGGTGAAACAGCAAGAAACCTCGACACCCGCCTCAATGAACACATTTACGCATGTAGGAACGACAACTTAAACAACGCCTGTGTACAACACCGAAATTCCACCAATCATCTCATGAAATTCAGAGACGCCCAATTAGTGATTAAAGAAACTAATTTCCGCACACGCAAGTGCCTTGAATCAGCACTGATCGCTGTTTCGAATACAATTAAACAAAACAACGGCAGCTTCACCATCTCCGAAGTCTTAGCAAGAATCCTCCTGAAAACAGTAAACCCTGCCATCACATAGTCTCTCCTGTTATACTACACACAGCACAGAGAGTGAACACTGAAACAAGCTGCCTCATTCCAGTCTATATTTGTCCAACCTATTTTTATGTTACCCAAGTAATAGCTTTTATATCCTTTTACTCATGTACGAATTAATTGCTCTACCATATTGTATTACTTT